CCCTGGCCAGGCGCCTGTGGCGGATGCCGGCGTCGGCCTGCTGGGCGGCCTCCTGGCGGCTCTTGAAGTCCCGGACGGCGCGCTGGTTCTGGAAGTCGATGAGGGCCAGGGTGATGGAGGCGTTCCAGCAGCTCTCGCCCGGGCACCGAAAGTCGATCTCCCGGCGGTCCGTCGTGACGATGGTGAAGTAGACGTACTTGCCGGTGCGCTCCACGCAGTCCACCTTCTGGATGGCGCCGAAGCGCAGCTCCTTGGCCCGGCCGCCCTCGGGCGAGGAGAGGCGCAGGCACTCCCGGCTCAGCACCACCTGCTTCTTCTTCCACAGCTGGAAGAGGCTCTCGCTCCGCTTCTCCAGCTCGCCCTCGCGGAGCACCTCCGACGGCGACGGGGACGGCGAGGGGGGACCCTTCATCGCGACGCTGCCAACTGCTCCTCCGATCCGCGCTGCGGCGACCGGCGCCTCCCCACTGCCTTCGTGCGGCGAGCTGTGCGCGGCCGGAGCCCGGCGGGACCCATTTATGGCCCTGCAGCCGCCCCGCCCGTCCGCCGCCTCCCCCCACGCCGAGCGAGGCAAGGCCGGCCCTCCCGGCGGAGTGCGGCGCTTCTTCCTGCCGCCCACTCGCTGCTCTTTGTATCAGTCGCTGCTCTCCCTTTCTCTCTCTTTCCTCCCCCCCTCCGGTTTCCCGCTGAATTCCACCGCGGCCTTCTGGAAGATCAGAACAACCCGGGTCATCATCAAGCGGCTCAGGCACCCCTCGAGGCCGGGAAGGGGCTCCAGCAACTGCGAAGGAGGACAACGCTGCGTGGGGCTCATCCAGATCCCCCCGTTTCTGTGGCCAAAACCTCGACGTATTTTCTGGAAAGGATCGCTTTCATCACACACATGTCAACACTCCCCTATAATATGCGCACATACAGGCTCCAGGGCCGGCCCCAGTTTATTTTGCACCATAGGCGAGGACCCCTTCTGGCGTCCCACCCCCCACCATTTTTCAAAAATAAATGCATTTTTGGAAGAATGAAAAACACAAATAATTAAGAAACTCTCAGAGTACGGGGGCTGGGTGCAGTTTGGCCCCCTAGGGGCTAGCCCGCTCTAGGCGATCGCCTAGTGAGTGAGCCGGCCCTGGCAGGCTCAGGTGCTCTTCTTCCTTGTATCTTCCACATACTTGGGGGCAGGGGTCGTTTCGTAGAAAAAGAGCTATGGGAACTCATTAGCATAACTCATTAGCATATGCCACACCCCCTGACATCAGGGGCCCTGCGGTGCACCTGCAAGGCCAGCAGGAGTGCGAGGAAGCCCCGCCAAGGCCCTCCCTGGCCCCAGGCAGGCAGGGGTGGGGAGAGGCGGGAGGAAGCAACTTACCCTTCCTCTTCTCCTGCCTCCTCCTGGCTGAATGAGGGCTGGAAGCAGGGCAGCCGGAAGCAGGGGGCGGGGCTTCGTCATGTGCCCCACCCCCCTGCACCTCACCCGGGGGGACTGCGTTCCCCCGCGTTCCCCCCTGAAATGACCTCTGCTTGGGGGAGAGGGGTGGAATCCGCCCCTTGCCTTGGCAGAGCTTCATTGATGCACCTGGAGAGTGTAAAGTACTGGGTTTGCTGCATGGAGGACTCGGAGGAGGACATGCTTTTGCACAGGTTTATTGTACTTCACTCCAACTAAGACTAACTCTAACGGCCTGACAGGGCCAACTATATACATATCCACCCAGCACCCCCCATTCCCATTGGAGGGTTTGAATGTCCCACCAAAGTGGCTATTGGTTGGGGCTGGGGGAAACCAGGATCCAAAGTTTCCTTTGTTCCAGGAGCCAAGCTCCTGCATGTGCGGGACCCCTGGTGGCGGTCCCGTGCATAACAGCGGACCCTTTTTCTTACACTTCCTGCCTGGAGCACCTGAAAGCCTCCACCGCTTACTCTGGTGCCCTTTCTCTCCAGTGGGTTTACAAGTTACTGCTGGATGCAGGCTCACTCACTAGGCGAACTAGACTTTCGCCTAGGGCGGTGCCATCATGGGGGCTCTGAACTGAGCCTGGATGCCAGGGTCCCCAACATGACGCCCACGGGCACCACACAGCACCCACCAACAACTTTCCCGGTGCACAGGGAGTGTTTGTAGAAAACAGATGGGGCCGACTGAGGCTCTTATCCCAGCAGGGTTTCTGACTGGCCACTGGGGATGTTCCTGCAGAGCTGCCACTACAGTGTGGGTTGTATTTTCTCTCTCACTCCTGTTTCCCAGTGTATTTTTTTAATCACTCCTCTCCCCCCCCCACTTGGGCTTCCTCTGTGTATGTGGTTAGCGCCACCTCACACAAGGGCCATTCGGTGTTTGCACCCATAAGGGGTCATTTCGTAGAAAAAAGGTGCAGGAGCTCATTAGCATAACTTATTTGCATATGCCACACCCTTTGACATCACCAGAAGTGTGTCAGAAGGCAACACCCACCTCTCAGGCTCCACTGGACAGTTTTGGATTGCTAGCTATTGGGGGGGGATGTGCAGATCTGTCCTCACAGAGGAGGGAGAGCTTGTACCCGAATAAAACATGGTCTTAAAGGTCCCACTGGACTGTTTTGAACGGTGGGCTCTGCAACTTACCTGGTTGCTTCTTGCTCTGACTGAGGGCTGCTGAGAGCAGGGGGTGGGGCTTGTTGCATGTGCCGGCCCCCTGGGCTCTTTACTGCCGGAGCTCTGCTCCTGTGCGCACTTGCAGGAAATGACCCCTGGCGCCCGTCACCCTATGTCAGAATTACAATGGTGCTCACTAGCTCAAAAAGACTGGGGATCCCCGCTCCAGGTGGATTCGAAGCAGAGAAACCCTTTTACTGCTGTTTATACATCTTGGGCATTATTTATAAGCCACCTTTCTCTGCAACCCATGGTTTATACTGCCTTTCTCCAAAACATGGTGTTAAAGATTTGCAGATAGATACAGAGAGATCAACACCCTTGTTATCACCTCCGCTGTTTTTTGTTTGTTTGTTTGTTTGTTTGTTCCCAGAAGCCCAGGATGCAGTAGGGCTATCGGTGGGAATCTATAGAATTCTGATTTCTCCTCAATAGCTTTCATCCATCGAATATTATCCATACAAATAAATGCAGGTAATCCAAGAGTGTTGAAATTTATAAACGAAAAGCATGTCACTTCAAACCAGCCACGTGCTTCAGATAATACCATCCCTAACTACTCTGAGAAGGGCATGGTGGATGCAATGTGGAACACCAAATATAGATCTAAGAGATTTAGTTTGTATTGTTTCCAGGGAATGAGAATCTTTTTAGAGAATATCTGTGAGCCATACATGAGCTGAGGTATCACCTTGCCTGGAAGACTTTAATCACATAGGATATGTGTGAGCCATCTTTCTTCTTTTCTTTTTTTTACAGGTGGAAAATGAAAAAGAAAAAGTTTAATATGTTCCAATTATCATATGCCCGGGTATTTCTGTGGTTTCCCACTTATCATATGCCCGGGTATTTCTGTGGTTTATGATTCCCATCCCAGGAGGCAGATGTCATTCAGTGATGCATCGTGGCTAAATATCCACGCAGCGACAGAAAATAAATCTTTAAACCATCCATTTGGGTTAAATTCAAGGAGCAGCTTATCTCTTCTTGAGATACCCGAGGCAAGCCTTCTTCATGTCTTTCAAAACAACTAGGTATTGCAATCTTGGCAACCCAATTAACAAACCGTGGAGGAACCATGCCACCAAGATCATCAAAGTAGCTTATGTAAACTTTGGACCCATCTGTGCCATCACTTTCACTTTGTTTGTAATTTCTTACTCTGATAACCCCAGACTTTTCAGGGAACTGAGGAGTCAACACCCTTTTGGCCAACGTAATGAGGAGCTTCTGCCCATCAATCTCTAGGTCTCGACGTTCACGAATAAAAAACATAATCTCTGTTCGACAAGGGGAAAGGGAACTCTACTTCCCAGTAGACAACTGTTCTGTCTCTGTGAGTTTTCGTGCGAGCCATCTTTCAAAAACAGAAAAAGGAAAAAGAATCTCAAGGTAGCTGAACATCCAGATTCGAGTTGGCAGCTCCTCAGGAGAGGACTCTGAATCTGATTTGGGAGAGGCTGCTCCCAAACTCCTTAAAGTCAGATGGAACTATGATAATGATAAGCCTAAAGGGAAAAATAATTAAAATGAATTAACCCTGAAGGTTTAATAATACTTAGATTAATATAACAGAATACACTTTATTGGCTAATATTGCTTGTACTGGAATATATTTGAATTAGCTAATCTCACTCTTCTTCGTGTAGAATGTTAAAGCTAAGGGAAACTTCAGAAAAAGTTTTTTTTTTATCGTATCAGATCCCTGTTTATCTGTATTTTTTAGTTAGCTTTCCCATGTTCCCTTTGTAGTATGTAGTGAACCAGCCAGATTCGAATCCAGTACCTCCTTAGAGACCAACAAATTTTTTGGAGTATAGGTGAACACTCTTTTTTGAGTGTTCTCAGTGACATGAACCATCTGAGCTCTCTGTGAGCTGGTCAACTGGAAAACGACACCTAGATATTTAAAAACCTTCACCTGATCGATATCATGGCCATCAATTTACCATCCATGCTTGACAGCTCTTTGGGGAAATACAAGAATTCTTGGTTTCTTTCAAACGACACCTAGATATTTAAAAACCTTCACTTGATCGATATCATGGCCATCAATTTGCCATCTATGCTTGACAGCTCTTTGGGGAATACAAGAATTCTTGGGTTTTTTCGAAGTTAATGGTTAGCTGCTCCACCTTGCAATATGCAGTGAGAGCCCAAAGGGGCTTTTCTAAGCTCTGCTTCAGAGTGGGATAAAACGACAGTGTCTGCACATAGTAGGTTGGGGATCAGTCCATTTGCTAGTTAAGTCCAGAGTGGAGAGGGCTTCTACCACTGAATTAATGTGAAAGTTGAATAGCAGGGGGACCAAGATACAACACTGTTTCACACCTAACATGGACTGTATGGGTCAAGTGACCCTGCGGGTTACGTCTTACCATCAGGAAATTGCTTTCGTGCAATGCACAAATAAGCACAAGCCATCCACAGTCTGCCGAAGATATCTCTAATTTCGTCCCGTCCCTCCCAAAATGCTATCAAATGCCATTGTATAGTTTTCAAAGGCTGCATAAAGAGCCCCATGTGACCTAGCAACTTTAATTGCAGGTAGGTTTTTGGCCAGTGAAAATTTCAGAGGCTGAGAGGCAAAGTTCATTGCCAGTGTTCTCGGCCCTCATAACTGGTCAAGTGTGAAGCCTTCCATCTTCCTCCCCCTTTTCTGAGCCTCACTCTCCCTGAGTGCCTGCCTTGCTCATCAAGGGCCTCTCGCTTCATTCTCTTCTCCCTTCCTCCCCTCTGCTTCCGTCCTCTTCAAACACACACATCCCCTCTAGTTTATCTCCAGTTTCCCTTCCCCCCCTCTGGCTCTCTTGCCTGTCACAGGATGACTGGCCTCAGGAAT